GCTAATTGTGGGTCCCTGTGTGGTTTTTTTTTTTTTTTTTTTTTTTTAAAGGAAGGTAGTTGAAGTGACTGTTTTGTGCTTTGAATTTAGAGCCAGGCTGGGTTCGAACTGAACTGGTTGTTATTAGATTAACTCGAGCAGGTTACTTCAAGTGGTTGGATCAAAGTTTCCCCATCTGTAAAACAGAAAGAACTAAATTTTGGGGGGCTTATCTGGGAGGATAAGCTGGCCCTCGGCTCTAGGAAATGAGCAGAGGACGAGCAGGAGCCCAGAGGCTCCACGGGCTCCTTCAGCCCAGGGTGCTGTTTCATGCAGGACGTGGGGCGCTGTGGATCGAGTCTGCGGCAAAGCAGGTGGAGAGGAAGGAGTGAGAGACACAGAATCGAAGGGCAGGCCACCACTCGATGCGCCAGGGCGTGGGAGGCTGCGCTGGCTAGAGCATTCTGGGGTGATGGCGGTGACTTCCGTGAAGGTACGAAACACAAGCTATGGCGGGGAGAAGGAGGTGGGCAGCAGAGAGAGTAGCACGGCTGCTTCCCAGGCACCGGGACTTAGGTGTCCAGCGACAAAGCCATTACGCCAACTGCTGGTCCCTGAACTGTTTATTTAGCAAATGCTATACAGTGAAAAGTAAAAAAAACCCGTGTCACTCAGGCGTGGGCGTTTACCTGGTAAACTAGGAGGATGGGCTCTATTTTTACCAGGGAGAGTCAATCTTTTTCAAGGTCTCACAGCTCCGAGGAGCAAAGCTGGGGGATCCGTCTTCAAGTTCAGGGCTCCCCCATATGGAGGGACATGTGAACAGGGCGCTGACAAACCAGGACAGCAGCTCTCTCGAACCCTTGAAGAAAGCACCATGGGGGCTGGCCCTGTGGTGCAGTGGTTAAGCACTCTGCAGGGAAAGCCAGATCTCGGGAACCAGCAGTTAGCGTAATGGCTATGTCGCTGGACTCCCACGTAGTCGACCGCGGTTCGCGTCCCGGGCCCTGTGGTGCGGGTGCGTGCATGCCCAAGATCCCGAGAGGAGAATGGAGGAGAAGGGATTGCGGCGTGGCCATCCCCCCTGGGGGGGGTTTCCTTGCTTTCTGTCTCGCTGTCTCTCTCTGTCTGTCTGGCGAGCACGCGCGCCCTATAGCGAAAAAACCTCTCAAAAAAAAAAAAAAAAAAAAAGGAAAGCCAGATCTCATATGGCTGATCGCTGTTCAAATCCTGGTCCCCTCGGCTTGAGAAACACAGTGTGTGTGTGTGTGTGTGTGTGTGTGCACCTGTGCCCCTAATCCCGACGAGATGTCGGAACGATGGAAAAGGGAACTGCACTGTGGCCGTGCCCCACTGGGGTGCTTTTTCTCTGGTGGACACAAGAGCCCTCTGGCAAGAAAAAGAACACCCATCACGGAAGAGCTCAGCTGTTCTCCTAAAATGTGGACACTCTGTAGAAAACGCTGCTTTCATAAAATGTAGACACACCACTCAGCAGTAATTTTCATCCAGAAAAAGGAAAAGAGACAGAAAAAGTCATTTACAGCCCAAAACCCAACTCGAAATGCTCTCCGGGTTGTGCATGAGACTGATAATCCTGCGTTAGCCTCGTTAATCGAAATAAAACGTGATGAGGGGGTTGGCAGGTGGCATGGTGGTTAAGAATGCTGGACTCCCACATGGCCGATCACGGTTCAAGTCCCGGACCTGACAGTTTGCTTTCTCCCTTTCTCTCTCTCACTCTCTGGTTAAATAAAATAAATAAATAAATAAGTCAATATTAAATAAAAAATAATTCTAAAAAAAAAAAAAAAAGAAGTGATGAGTGATAAACATGAGAAAATGTACAATTTCCTGAAATGACAATAAAAACAGTCCAGTCGTCGCGCTGCTGACGGGTCATCAAGGTTCAAATCACCCCGTGCAGAGGAAGTGTGGACCTTGGCTCCTGTGTTCGGGAACCACCTGCCAGTTCCTTCTCTTATCAGCCACCAAGAGGCCATTAAATTCTGCCCTATTGCTGAGTCACCCTGAGAAAAACAAGATGAGGAACTCTCAGGGAAGGTCTTCACAGACTCAGGACCAAGGGAAAGGTGCAGGTGCTCAAGATCAGGTGCAGGTGTCAAGTTACAATGAGGTAAGCTAGCTGGTTCCGGATTCCACTTACAGAGAATGTGCTGCAGGAGCAGCAATCAGGGAGAGCCACCTGGAAGAAGCGGGTTTTCAGTAGTTTTTTTTTTTTTTTTTTTTAATTTTAAGAGAGATTTTTGCTATAGGACATGTGCCAGAGAAAGAAAGAGAGAGAGAGATAGAGAGAGACAGAAAGTGAGAAATCACCCCCTCCCCCCCACAGGGGGCATGGCCATGCCGCAATCCCTTCTTTTCCATCTTCTTGGGATTTGGGGGCATGCATGCACATGCGCCTGGCGTGAGTTTTAAGCCACCGGGCCTGGGACTCGAACCACGGGCGACTACGCGAAAGAGTCCAGCGATGGAACCATTACGCCATCTGCTGGTCCGTCGGGAGTGCTTTCTGTATGACAGAGCTGTCCAGAGATGCGGACTTTGTTCTAGGGAGGGGTCGAGGTGCTAAGCAGAGGACATTCAGCTGGATCTGTAATTTAGAGAAGTGAATTCCCAGTGTGGAGAACAAAGAATCGCGGGCGCCCACTCAGGCGCCCATGCTGGGGATAAGCTAGAGAGGAGAGCGACAATTCGACATGGCCGTAGATTAGTAAATGCAGGGACTGAGAAGAGGAGAGGGTCCCTGACCTGGTGGATGAGATGGGACCACGAGTGAAGGGGAACAGGGACAGCAAGGACAGGATTTCGAGCAGGGGTGGCTGTTGGAGGGTGCAAGGGCACCTGCACAGGGCAGGTGTCGCGGGGATGGAGCTGGCGCGCCCATTGGAGCTTGATCACACACGCACATGGGTGCTGCGAGGGGGAGCACATGGCGGACCACTGACTGGAGGAGGACAGAGAGCAAGGGGCAGAGGCAAAGTCCTTCGGTGAAAGAGCCGGGTTACAGGGTGGAAAGGAAATGGACACTGCGGGAGAGACAGTGTAGACTGGTCATTAAGAAAATGAGGCGCCATCCAGCAGGCATGAACGGAGGCACTGGGGGTGCTAACGGAGATGAGAGCAGGGGCCTCTGGGAGCTGGACGTCTGGTGGTGCCCACAGGACACCGTGGGGAGGCAGGGCAGGAAGGGACAGGAAAGGACGGAAGGCGAGGAAGGCAGGGTGAACCCAGGGAAGGCAGCAGGTGAGGAAGACCTGAGCGTGTAGGATACTCATGAGAACAGTCCACGGCTCTAACATCCGCAAAACAATAACAGTATCTACTCAGAGCAGAGCCGTGCATACCTTGTAAAAATGTAGCATTGTTTTTTCCCTACGCACGTGCCAGACAGACAGACAGACAGAGACAGAGAGACAGAAAGCGAGAAATCGCCCCCCAGGGGGATGGCCACACCGCAATCCCTTCTCCTCCCTTCTCCTCTCGGGATCTTGGGCATGCACGTACACGCGCCCGGCATGAGTTTAAGCCACCGGGTCCGGGACTCGAACCGCAGTCGACTACACGGGATTCTAGTGACATAGCTATTAGCCAACTGCTGGTCCCAAAATGTACCATTATCTTCAAACTGACTATATCAGACTACACATCGGGACAGATGGCTGTGTGTGGCATCGAGGTCCAGACAGAGAAAAAAGGGTGCGTCCTGGGCTCTGGCGTCTGAAAAACGCCTTCTAAATGCATACACAGAGTCTCACTGTGGGGCTGCCCTCGTGCCAAGGGTGTCTGGGGGTGTGTTCTGCTGAAGGCATGCAGTTGGGGTCTCCCATTTCTGGCTATCTCTGTGCCAAAAAACAGTGAGAGAAGTGCCCAGGCTATTGATATAGCCCTCTTTCTCTCCCCACTCAGAGTACAGAGATGAACCTCTGCGAGTTACGCCCCAGCCTGATCTTTCTCCATACAGTACAAACTCACAGGTGATAGACTTAGAAACCTCGGGCAGTCAAAACCCGATTCCGCCAGCCAATCTGTTCTGGTGTGTGCTGGTAAGTGATCAAGAGGGTTCGTCCTCAAGAAACTCTACGGGGAACATCACGTCTCGGGTTAGAGACCTACCTCGGTCGGCTGGTCGGCTGGCTGCGGGATCAGGAGCTGGTTATGGTGCTGCAGGACCGTCTTCAAGTAATCTAACACGGTCTGGCAGGGCACTGGGTGGGAGAAAGCGCAAGAATTACACATTCGCTCCCTCGCACCCGCAAGACGTAAAGTCTAAAAAGATTTTTGATGTAAACGTCTAAAAAAGAAGACTTATTTTCTAAAGGAAATAGAATCTTCTTTCATTTGACATCCGCGGTTATTTCAGTTTGTAAATACAGAACAGATGCTATGGTTTGGGGAGAATGTTTAGGCTCAGCACAATTCACTGAGAACTTGCAAGTCAAAGTTAGTCCAAGAGGAATTTGGGTCAACAATACTGATCACGAACAACTCACAGAACACACAGGTTTTCTTTCTTTCTTTTTCTTTTGTTCTTGGAGAGGTTTATGCTATGGGGCGCGTGTGCTCGCCAGAAACAGAGAGACAGAAAGCGAGAAATCACCCCCCGGGGGATGGCCACGCCGCAATCCCTTCTCCTCCATTCCCCTCTCGGGATCTTGGGCACGCACGCACACGCGCCCGGTGTAAGTTTTAAGCCACCGGGTCTGGGATATGAACCGCGATCGACTACGTGGGAGTCCAGCAACATAGCCATTACGCTAACTGCTGGTCCCCTGTAACACTGATTTTTAATGTCAGACTCCTTCTGAGTTCTTCAATAAGCAGGATTCCATACAAATTAGACTTGATTCCAACACAAACACACTCGGCCCCCCAGTTGTCACGTAAACTTCTCATTTTCTTGCTTAAGAAGCTCTGTTGATGGGGGCTGGCAGATGGTGTGGCGGTTAAGGGTGCTGGACTCCCACATGGCCAACTGTGGTTCAAGTCCTGGACCTGGCAGCTTGCTTTCTTACTTTCTCTCTCTCTCTCACTCTGTCTCTCTTTGGTCAAATTAAAATAAATAAATAAATAAAGTTAAATAAAATAATTCTTAAAAAAAAAAAAAAGAAAAAAGAAAAAAAGAAGCTCTGTTGAGGGACCAGCAGATGGTGGAATGGTTACGTTGCTGAACTCCCACGTAGTCAACTGTGGTTTGAGTCCCAGACCCGGCAGCTTAAAATTCATGCCAGGCGCATATGAGTGCATGCCCCAAATCCTGAGAGGAGAATGGAGGAGAAGGGATTGCAGTGAGGCCATCCCCCCAGGGGATGATTTCTTGCTTCCGTCTCTCTGTCTCTCCAGCAAGCACATGTGTCCTATAGCAAAAATCTCTCTATATATAAAAAAGAAGAAGCTTCACTGATTTGGTAAATTTCATATTAGATTCTGTATTTCATGAACACATACTTAATTTTTTGAGGCTTAGTCTTACAGATTCATTGAAGAATTATAATAAAGCTGAATAGATATTAACCCAGCATCAAGCATGACATTTTCTGTACCACTGCATAAATAATGCCTACATCTGAAGATTTATATTAGAGACCTTTCAAGAGTATTAACTAATTGTTTTTTAAAGGTCGTGGTAGCTTAGTTAATAACCCAATTTATATGAACCCTTGTCACGCTCTTTCTTAGCTGTGTGTTTTCTTACGATGTTTTTGTCACATTAAAGAAAATAATAAATATTGAACCTAAGCCTTGATTTCAAAGTTATCACCGTGGAACTTTTTCACTTTGTTTTTCTTATCACTTTTTTGTTGTTGTTGTTTGTTTTTAGATCGCAAACAGAAGTTATCCTCTTTCTCCACTGCTAATAGCTTTGGGCTTTTTAGGCCACATCATATACAGTCTGAAATCAAACACTGCAGCAACATGCTTTTGAAGAAATTTTATGACACGGAAGACTAGGTTAGGAAATTTTTCTTCTTGCCAGGAAGGTGTTTTTTTTTTTTTTTTTTTTAAGTAACCACCCATATAGTCCTGTCACAGATTTGTGTCAGGGTCACGCTGCAATCATCATTTGAATATATGTTTCAAGTTAAAGAAGCATTTGCTGGGGCGAGCAGTTAGCGTAATGGCTATGTCGCTGGACTCCCACGTAGTCGACCGCGGTTCGCCTCCCAGACCCGGTTGCTTAAAATTTACACTGGGAGTGTGTGCGTGCGTGCCCAAGATCCTGAGAGGAGAATGGAGAAGGGATTGCGGCGTGGCTATTCCCCCGGGGGGTGATTTCTCGCTTTCTGTCTCTCTGTCTCTCTCTGTCTGTCATCCCACTCTGGTCTGCAGTTCAAGTCCCAGATCTGGTGGCTTAAACTCACGCCGGGCGCGTGTGCGTGCGTGCCCAAGATCCTGAGAGAAGAATGGAGGAGAAGGGATTGCGGCTTTGCCACCCCCCCAGGGAATGATTTCTCGCTTTCTGTCTCTCTGCCTCTCTCTGTCTTTCTGACGAGCGCATGCACCCTATAGCATAAATCTCTCCAAAAACAAACAAAAAACAATAATGCCTTAAAAACAACTATTTAATTTAATTTAGTATTGTTTTTTATTTTGACCAGAGACAGACAGAGAGAGAGAGAAGGAAAGTGAGAAAGCAAGCCTTTAGGTCCGGGACTCAAACCATAGTTGGCCATATGAAAGTCCAGCGCCTTAACCACCACACCACCTGCCAGCCCCATCAATAATAATAATTAATAACGATTACATTTCAACTGAGGGATTAGAGTTGTGATTACTTTTATCCATCGTTACGACAAATAAAAACAGTATTGTATGTTCTCACTCATATGCAGAAACAAAAAAAAATGGTCTCACAGAGATAGACAGGAAGAATGACTGCTAACAGCTGGGGAATCTACGTGAGGAGGGATAGAGGGATTACCAGAAATAAAACTGCAAGCAGAGGGCCCACAGTGCAGTGGTTAATGGACACACATCCCTCATGGCTGACCACAGTTCGAATCCCCATGCGGGTGGTTTAAGACACACCAAGCATGTATGTGTGCCTGCCCCAAATCCTGATGGAATGGAGGAATGAAAAAAAAAGAACTGCGGGGTGAGCATGCCTCATGGGGGTGCCTTCTCTCTCTCTCTCTCTCTCACATGCTCTCTGGGAATAAAAACTGCAGATAGATAAACAGGGCCATTCCTAGGACTATAATACTTCCCAACACAGGTCATGTAAAGGGGGGAGACGGTGGGTCTGCTAATGATGCTGAATGAATCATGATGCATTGCATTTTTTTTCCCTCGGTTTCTGCCATAGGGCGTGTGCACTTGGCTAGAGACAGATAGTGAGAAGGAATGTGAAATAACTCTCCAGGGGGATTGACCACAACACAATCCTCTCTCTTCTATTCTCGTCCTGGAGTTTGGACACACAGGTGTATGCGCCCAGTGTGATTTTTAAGCCACCAGGTCTGGGACTCAAACCGTGGTCAGCCATGTACAAGTCCAGTGCCTTAACCCCCACACCACCTGCAGGCTCCTACACTTTTTTTTTTGAGAGATTTTTTGCTACAGGGTGCGTGCATGTGCTTGCCGGAGATACAGAGAAAGAGAAAGAGACAGAAAGCGAGAAATCACCCCCCAGGGGGGATGGCCACGCTGCAATCCCTTCTCCTCCATTCTTCTCTCGGGATCTTGGGCACGCACGCACATGCGCCCGGCATGAGTTTAAGCCACCAGGTCTGGGACTTGAACCATGGTCGACTACGTGGGAGTCCAGTGACATAACCATTATACCTTCTGCTGGTCCCCGAAAACTTTTTTAAAATTATCTAAAATAATACACTCTAGTGCTTATCTGTCAGCAAAAGAAAAGAACACTTTTTAAAAGTGCCTAAAAGAACAGACTGGTGTGCAAAATGTTTACAATATTTTGTGAACCTGTAGTTTGTCATTAATTTGTATCTTTAAGTTATCGCTCTAAAGATCACCTATACTTTGGGCGCATGTCAAACTGCAACTGAAATTTGATTTTGTCAATGGTTTTTGAACAAACTGAATAAAGTTTTTGTTGGGAAAAAAAAAAAGACATTCTAACATAACACTAGTTAGTATATTAACAGTTTTCTGAGAAAAAGGATCAAGAATTAGTCTTAAATCCTTAGGGGTTTTTTTTTTTTTTTTTTTTTTAACATAGTAACTCTAATACTTATTAACTAGGCCCAATGTACTTACTTAACTTCTGTGGGTCTCTTTCACCCATAAAACGGGGATAATTACCTACCGCATACATTTACTATGAGGATTAATGGAAATAATGTTTCTATATCAGAAAGCAACCAGAAAGTACTGCCTAAGGTGAGCTACTGCTATTTTTTTTGGAGAGGTTTTTGCTATAGGGCACGTGCACTCGCCAGAAAGAGAGAGACAGAGACAGACAGAGAGAGAGAAAGGAAAAGTGAGAAAGCAAACCACCAGGTCCAGGACTTGAACTATGGTCGACATGTGGGAGTCCAGAACCTTAACCACCACGCAACACTCCCATTCTTTTCTTTTCTTTGTTCTTCTTTCGAGAGGTTTTTGCTATAGGGTGCATGTGCTCACCAGAAAGAAAGAGTCAGAGAGACAGAAAGCGAGAAATCACCCCCAGAGTGGATGGCCACGCCACAATCCCTTCTCCTCCATTCCCCTCTCGGGATCTTGGGCATACACGCACACATGCCCGGCGTGAGTTTAAGCCACCAGGTCCGGGACTCGAACCACAGTCAACTATATGGGAGTCCAGCGACATAGCCATTACGCCAACTGCTGGTCCCGCTACTGCTATTTTAATAAGACTGAGAGTCTAGTGAGTTCTTGCTGGAGACCACCTCCTAGACTCTGTTGGGTGTGCCATATCTGGGCTGCGATATTGTCTGAGCAGCTGTTAAGGCTCTTCCCAAGGCAAAACTGCTCCAGTTCTGGTTTGGCTCCTACTAAGGGTGCTTGGGTCTCTAGTTCTTCATTTTCATTGTGGATCATTACAGTAAAATCGTACTCAGAGTTTCTCTTCTCATTCCTCAAACATTATTCAATCTACCTTGTAATAGAGCTGTTTTTAAAGACTTTAAACAGCTCGAACTATGCCACGTCGGGTTTTATGGGGAAACCGAAATGATTCACTGTCCTCTGACAACCATGGCCACCTGTGTGCTTAATCATCTCTCAGCGTCCTATTCAC